GCCCCAGAGGCATCCAAGGCTCATCCAAGGGAAATCTTTCAAATCCTCTTTTTCAAGGTCCTCCCCCTTCGTTTCTTCCTGTCCCAGGCTTTGGTTTGCTCACGAGTGCGTTTCCGTTTTCCCCATCCCTCGCTGTCCGTTTCTTTTGATATCGCTTTATTGTTTTTGATTCTCTTGCGCTTTCCGTTCCACATCCACCTCCTTTCTCTCCTCTTCTCTCCTCCCTGCTGCGTCATTTTCCCTCCTCCCTCTCTGTCGTGTCTCCTTCACGCCTTTGTCTCGCCGCCTCCCTCCTGCGGTTCTGCCTCCGCCACCCTTCGCTGATCGTTATCCTGGATCTCTCTCTTGCTCTTGGTTCTCTTGCGTCTCCCGTTATACGTCCTCTTTCCTCTCTCTTACTCTCTTCTCCCCGCTGCGTCCGTTTCCCTTTTCCCTCCTCCACGTTTCTCCTTCACGCTTAGTGGTTCAATGATTTTGACCTCTCGAGTGCTTGCCCGTAGCTCTTGGGGATTCACGGGGACCTCTTAGGGCGATCGTGGGTGCTCCTGGGGGCCTCCAGGACCAATTGGAAAACATGGAATTGTTGACGCTTCGCGTATCCCCACCAGCCCATCCAGAAACGATGCTCAGGGGAGTTGAGGTGATCAGGGAAGTCGGGGAGCATGCAGAATAACAAAGGGCGGGGGAAGCTGTCACAGACCCCGAGAGGGGGAGGATGGAAGAGGAGTCGTCGTCGTCGTCGTCGTCGTCGGAGGAGGAGGAGGAGGAGGGGGAAGAGGAGGAGGAGGAGGAGGAGGAGGAGGACGGAGAAGGAGGAAGAATCGGAGGAGGAGGAGGAGGAGGGGAAGGAGCTTCTTGGGGGTCTTTTGAGGGCCTCTTGGAGGGCTTTTTGGGCGCCTTGGGGCATCTTGGGCGCCTCTTGGGACCCTCTTGAGGCGCTCTGGGGAGCCTTCGGGGCGCTTTTGGGGCCATCTTGGAGGGAGTCGATCAAACAAGAGGGGGGGTTTAATTAGCGTCCCCCCTCGGAAGCCCCTAAAATCGCCTCTTGGACCCCTCTTGGAACGCTCTTGGAGTGCTCTTGGGCGCTCTTGGGGCCGTCTTGGGGCTCTTTTGGGGCTCTCTTGGGGCCCTCTTGGGCCATCTTGGAGCCATCTCCAGGCCTCGGATGGCCATCGGAAGCGAAAAGGCGAGAAAGCAAAAATCATTGATTTTCCTTAGGTTTTGGGACGATTTTGGCCTCTTCGGGGCCTCCTTGGGGAGCTGTTTGGCCACTTGGAGTTATCTTGGGGCCGTCTTTGGGCTTCTTGGAACCATCTTAGGAGCCATCGTGAGCGATCTTGCGCTATCTTGAGCCATCTTGGAGCTCATCTTGGGTTCTCTGAGGCGCTCTTGGAGCCGTCTTGGGCCATCTTGGACGCTCTAACTACCCGCGGCCCCCCCCGTCCAGGTCCAGGGGAGGGGGTAGGGGGAGGGGTAAACCCCTCCCCAAGGGGGAAGAGGGAGGGGTGGAAGAGGATCTGCTCTAGACCACCTACGCCCAGAGGGCTGGTGGGATTCCGTCACACCCTGTTTTTTTTCAAGGTCGACCCCCCCCCATCCGTTCCCTCCTGTCCCCTGTTTCTGCGTGCCTTTGAGTGGGTTTCTGTTTCTCCCATCCCTCGTTGTCTGTTCTCTTTGCGCTCTCTCTCCTGCTCTTGGGTTTCGTGCGTCTCACGTTCCACATTCTTCTCCTTCCTCTCCGCCTCCCTCCTCCCCGCTGCGCCATTTCCCCCTTTCCCGCCTTCCCGCCACCTCGTCTCTCCTTCACGCCTTCTTCTCTCCGCCTCCCTCATGCGTTTCCGTCCCCTCTTTCCCTCGTCCTCATCTCTCCTTTGTTCTTTCCTCCCCCCGCCGCCCTCATTCAGCATCCTGCCCCACTCAGTTGTAGGAGGCCCAGCCTAAACGAAAGGGATGACCCTCAAATTTGTGTTCAAGGTGCCCCCCTTGTTTCCCCCTGTCCCAACGCTGGCGTGCCCCCGAGTGCGTTTCCGTTTTCCCCATCCCTCGCTGTCCGTTCTCCCCGATCTCTCTTTCCTGCTCCTGGTTCTCCTGCGCTTTCCGTTCCACATCCACCTCCTTTCTCTCCTCGTCTCTCCTCCCCGCTGCGTCATTTTCCCTCCTTCCTCTCTCTCGCCTCTCCTTCACGCCCTTCGTCTTTCCGCTTCCCTCATGCGTTTCTGTCTCCGCCACCCCTCGCCGTAAGTTTTCCCTGATCTCACTTTTGCTCATGGATGTCTTGCGCCTCCCGTTCCACGTCCTCCTTCATCTCCCATTCCCCCCCCCGTTTTCTCTTGTCCCAGACTTTGGCGTGCGTGCCCCAGAGTATGTGTCCATTTTCCCCATCCCTTGCTGTCCGTTCTCCTTGTTCTCTATCCTGTTTTTGGTTATCCTGCGTGTCCTGTTTCACATCTTTTTCCTTTCCTCTCCGCCTGCCTCCTCCCCGCTGCGTCATTTTCCCTCCCTCCCCCTCGTCTCTCCTTCACGCCTTCCTCTCTCCGCGTCCCTCATGCTATGTCGGCTTCCCAACGCTGCAAGACGGCCCAAGAGGTCCCCAAGACAGCACTAAGACAGCCCAAGAGGTCCCCGCGACGGCCCAAATACGACGCAAGAGAGCGCCAAGACGGCCCCAGATGCTGGCATGACGGCCCAAGATGCCTCAAGACAGCCCCAAGACAGGGGCAATAGCCGGGATCCGAACCGACATTTCGAGCCCAGATGCCAAAAACCCCGGGGAGGCCTCAGAAGCGCTCCAAAACAGCTTTAACAGGCCACCGGGAGACTCCCAACAAAAATTGGGGATGCTCCACCCCCCAGACCCCCAAGAGCCCCCCAATAACGCCCCCCAAAGGCATCCAAGAAGACTCCCAGCATGGTTTTGCCAGGCTCTTAGGGTTCTCGGGCATCCCCCCTTAGGCTGCCCTGGGCCCTCCTCTTGGATGCCTTGCGCGACTTCTTGGAGCTTTATTCAGTGTCTCCTGAAACATCCACCAGCAAGTACGCTCCCATATGGCCACCCTTGCGGGATGATGTCCGTGCTCATCTGATCTTGTGAGGTTGGCTTGGACTGCGTTAGAACCTAAGCGCGCGAAGCGCGCGCGTGGTCCGAGTGTGTGTATATATATATATATATATAGATATGTATACATACATAGAGAGAGAGAGAGAGAGAGAGAGAGAGAAAAAGAGAGAGAGAGAGAGAGAGAGAGAAATATATAGAGAGAGAGAGAGAGAGAGAGAGGGAGAAAGAGACAGAGGGAGAACTAGAAAAGAGAGAGAGAGAGAGAGGGAGAAAGAGAGAGAGAGAGAAAGAGAGAGGGAGACAGATAAAGAGAGAGAGAGAGCTGTCGCCAGGACGGTCCTTTGAGACTTCCAAGAGCAGCGCTGGTGGGCGGCTTCCTTCGAGTAGGGGATCGACTTCAGAATTTAATTACTCTCACATTGATTTTCACGTCGAATATGTTCACAAGTACGCATACTGTTCCGTCGATCTACGAAAGCTCTACGCGTTTTCCATGGATCTGATGCGGAACATCAGTTTCGGGATGAATCAGTTCTGTAGTCGATCCCCCACTCGATTCCTGGACGTGTGCCCCGTGGTCTGCAGTTCATCGTGTTCGTGTCTCCTCCTGCCTCCTCCTCCTTCTCCTCCTCCTCCTCCTCCTCCGCGGCCGCTCTCTTGCTTTGACCGCTGTATCGGTGCGCGATCTGCTGGCCCGCGGCGCCCTGGCCCGAACGCGGCGTGACCCACATCGCTGTGACAAAAAGGTCTGGCGGTGTGCGCCACGTGCGAATGCAGAATTCATGCCTACGCGGCACCCCGCAACGCGAGCTCGGTCAAGCAGCGCACAGAGCGTCGCGTCGAGCACCCGTGGTGGCACCACGCTGCAGGATGTGGCCGTACGGAGCGGCGTCGCCCATGGCGGTGCGCAGGTTCAGTGCCCGGGGCCTTCAGACGGCGTCCGAGTGCGTCTCCCCCTCCTCCTCTTCCCCTTCTTCCTCCTCCTTTTCTCGTTGTGCTCCTCCCGCTCCTCCTCCCCTCCTCCCCCCCCTGCCCTCCTGCTCCTCCCCCTCCTCCCCCGTCCCTCCCCCCCCGCCCCCGAGACGGAAGTTGCGCGCGCGGTCTGTCTCTCTGCCCTCTCGCCTGGCTCCGCTGCCTTCGCGTGCGCTCGCGCCGAAGCCGCTTGCCCAAAGCAGATCCTGGAGACCATTGCCATCCTCGAGGATATCGCACCACGATGGAGAGGATGCTGGAGAGGATTCTGAAGGTACCCGTATGATCCTCACGTTCCTCTTTGCTCACGCACCGTCTTGTGCAGGGCTCGGCCTGATCCGACCTGACGGAGCAGCGAGGATAGTCAGTTCTGTCCCTCCTCCCCCCCTCCCTTCCTCCGTCGCTCTCCCTCCCTTACTCTCTCCCTTCCTCCCTGACTCCATCTGTCTTCCTCCCTTCCTCGCTCTCCCTCCCTCCATCGCTCCCCCTCCCTCCCTCCTTCTGCGTCTCCTTTCCCTCCCTCTCTCCTCCTGGACTGTGCGCCCAGACGTCCGCGACCTTGCCGCGCCCTTCCTCGTCCCGTCTGGCCCCCTCGTCCTTCGTGCAGTGGTCGTTTGGGCCTTCCCGTCTCGTCCTTCGTCCTTCGATGCCGTCTGGGGACGGTTGTCCGATCCGACGGCCTGCCCTGTGGGCAGAACTCGATACCCGCGGTAGACCCTGGCTAGGCAGCGTGCCTGGGCCCAGGATGAGCCTGGCCAGGGCCAGTGCAGGTTTACTGTTGGCGCCCTCCTGTGGAACTGCGAGGTCCCCTGGGGTAGCCAGGATGTCGGGTGTGGCGCGAGCGCACCCAGCGTGCCCTCCCTCCCTCCCTCCATGTCTTCCTTCCCCCCTCCCTCTCCACTCTCCCCCTCTCGGCGGCAGGCGCCGTGGCGCACGGAGCCAGAGCGCCCCGCCCCGCACCGACCAATCCCCAGGGCAAGAGCATCTACCGGGAGTGCTTCGAGGAGCAGTTCCTCGACGCCACGCGGAAGTTCTATCAGGCCACGGGGCTGGCCAGCCTCAGAAGCAAATGCCCGATCGAATGGTGCCCTCCTTCTCCTTCTGAGCACTTACTTCTCCTGCTGCCTCCGCCTCGCTTCTCCCCTCCTCCTCCTCCTCCTCCTCCTCCTCCTCCTCCTCCTCCTCCTCCATTCTTTTTCCTTGTACATGACTTCTCCCTGTCGCACCCGAGGCCAGCTTTTAGGGCGGGCCGGGCGTTTCGCCTGAGACTTCCTCACACATTATGATTCTGAAGCTTAACAAACAGCAAACAGTTTCACAGGTGGAGTGCGGGTCGTTTTCAAAATGTGGCTCTCGCCCTAGCATAAGGAACAGGTACAGCAAGTGGAACAGGCGGGACAGGCGGGACAGGACGATGATGGTGGTGGTGGTGGTGATGATGATGATGATGGTAATAGTAATAATAATGATCATGATGCTGGTGACTGGGGGTGGTGGGTGGTGTGGTGGTGATTATGATGGCCATTCTTATGCCGAATCGGTTGATTTGATGACTATGACGATGACGGCGGAGGTGATGATGATGATGATGATGATGATGATGATGATGATGATAATGGTGATGATGATGACGGTAGTCCTTGTGGTGATCGAGCTGATGATGATGACGATGATGACGATTTTGCTGATGATGATGCTGGCGACGATGGTGCTGATGATGATGACGACGATGATGTTGATGATGATGATGATGATGATGATGATGATGATGATGATGCTGTTTATGCTGATGCTGATGCTGCTTCTGATTATGAAGATGATGACGATGATGCTGCTAATGATGCTGATGATTATGCTGATGCTGCTGCTGATGCTGCTGCTGATGACTTTGCTGATGCTGCTGATGATGATGATGATGATGATGATGCTGATGCTGCTGCTGATGATTATGAGGCTAGTTATGATGATGCTGATGATGACGATTCTGATGATGATGCTGATGATGATGCTGCTGCTGATGATGATGAGGATGATGATGATGATGATGATGATGATGATGTTGAAGACAATGCTGATGATGATGATGAGTATGATGGTGCTGATTATGATGCTGTTGCTGATGCTGACGATGATGATGATGACGGCGATGAGGAGGAATATGATGATGATGATGATGATGATGATGATAATGGTGATGATGATGATGATGATGATGATGATGAGGATGATGATGATTATGAGGATGAGAATGATGATGATGATGATGATGATGATAATGGTGATGATGCTGATGATTATGATGATGATGATGGTGGTGGTGGTGGTGCTGCTGATGATGATGATGATGGTGATTGTGATGCTGGTGATGATGATGATGATGATGATGATGATGATGATGATGATGATGATGATGATGATGATGATATGGCGACGATAATGATTGTGATGATGATTATGCTGCTGCTGATGATGATGCTGATGATGATCATGCTAATGATGATGATGTTGCTGATGATGATGATGATGATGATGATGATGATGTTGATGGTGATGCTGATGATGACGATGATGATGACGATGATGATGACGACGATGATGCTGATGATGATGATGATGATGGTGAGGATGATGACGATGATGTTGATGTTGATGATGCTGTTGATGATGATGATGATGATGATGATGATGATGATGATGATGATGATGCTGATGCTGATGCTGCTGCTGCTGCTGATGATGCTCATGCTGATCGTTCTGCTGCTGATGATGACGATGCTGCTGCTGTGGTTGATGAGGATGCTGCTGCAGCTTCTGATACTGATGATGATGCGAAAGGAGGATGAGGGCGGCGGAGGGGGAGGCATATGAATGAGGAGCAAGCTGATGGGGAAAATTAAAGAGGAGGAATCTGACTGAGGAGGAAGATGATGAGAGAGGAGGGGCGGAAAGCAGAGGCATGGAGCGGGCAGGCTGGTGGCACCCCGCCCCTGGTGGGCGGCCTCGAAGGGACTTTGATGAACTCGCGTCGCCTCGCCTCGCCTCGCCTCGCCTCGCCTCCCTCCTCCTCCTCCTCCTCCTCCTCCTCCTCCGCCTCTTCCTCCTCCTCCTCTTCCTCTTCCTCCTCCACCTCCCTCCTGCTTTCTCGGTCGGTCACATGGATGCCCGCTGATACAACTCAGCGGCAGTGCGGGCGAATTAGTTGCGTGCGCAAGATGCTACTCTCTTCTCCTCCTCCTCCTCCTCCACCGTTTCGGCGCCTCGGGTGCCCGCGATAGCCAAGCCATTCGATCCATCGCCGTCGAGTTTCTGAGGTGTCAGGCAGTGTGCCAGAACGCTAGCTTGCAGTCTTTGCCAGGGGATTTCGGGGACCGCTTCTTGGATCACCCATCTTAACTCGACTCAACCCGTCTTACACTCTCGTCTGGGAACCTGGGTACCCGATGGTACAAAGATAAGTGGGAGAGCTGGCGAACAATTTGCGTGCACAATTTTTAAGGGAGGGATTTCAAGGACAGGGCTGAGGCGGCAGTGCACCTTGCGTTTCGTTGCGCAGGACGAGTCGGTGCAATACATTTCGCAGAACACGTGCTCCGATTACCTGAAGAAGGTGGGCACGCACTTCTGCCATTGCCTTGTGATGGCTTGTGTGCGGAGTCTTTCAGGTAGGGACGGTAATGACAGGGGCTAGCATACTTAGGCTCGATCTGCTTCAGCTCAGTAAAGGACCCGATGGCAGGGGAAAAGGAACGGGCATGGTGATGATGATGCTGTTGCTGCTGATGATGATGATGCTGATGATGATGATGACGATGCTGATGATGATGATGCCGATGCTGATGATGCTGGTGATGCTGATGATGCTGATGCAGTTGATGCTGATGGTGCTGATGATGCTGATGATGATGCTGATTATCATGATGATGATGCTGATGATGGTGATGCTGATGCTGATGCTGATGCTGATGATGATGCTGATGATGATGGTGATGGTGGTGGTGGTGGTGATGATGCTGCTGATGGTGGTGGTGGTTGTGGTGGTGATGATGATGCCGATGCTGATGCTGACGATGTTGAGGATGATAATCATGATTCTGATGATGATTATGATGATGATGCTGATGATGATGGCGATGATGAAGACGCTAATGGTGGTGATGCCGTTGATGATGATAGTGGTGATGGTGGTGCTGGTGGTGATGGTGGTGGTGTCAGTGGTAGTGATGAGGATGATGGTTGTGGTGGTGCTGATGATGATGACGATGATTGTGATCATGATGATGCTGATGCTGATGACGATACTGATTGTGATGATGATGTTGAGGATGATGATGATGATGATGATGATGAGGATGATGATGATGAGGATGACGATGATGCTGATGATGCTGATGCTGATGCTGATGCTGATGATGATGGTGATGCTGATGATGTTGATGCTGGTGGTGGTGGTGGTGCTGATGGTGATGATGATGACGACCATGATGCTGATGCTGATGATGATTCTGATGATGATGATGCGGATGATGATGATGCTGATGATGATGATGATGATAGTGATGCTGATTGTGATGATAATGATGATCTTGATGCTGCTGCTGATGCTGATGATGCTGACGACGCTGCTGATGATGATGATGATGATGATGATGACGATGGTGATTGTGATGGTGATGATGATGCTGCTGGTGATGAGGTTGACGATGATGAGGCTGACGATGCCGATGATGCTAATGATGATGATGATGATGATGATGATGATGATGCTGATGCTGATGATGATGCTGCTGATGATGATGCTGCTGATGATGATGCTGATGCTGATGCTGATGCTGATGATGACGCTGATGATGCTGCTGATGATGATGCTGTTTATGATGATGATAATGCTGATGATGATGATGATGATGATGATGATGATGATGATCATGCTGATGATGCTGATGATGCTGCTGCTGTTGATGATGATGATGCTGATGATGATGATGATGATGATGATGATGATGATGATGATGATGATGATCATGATGATGCTGATGATGCTGATGATGATGATGATGCTGATGATGCTGCTGCTGTTGATGTTGTTGATGATGATGATGATGATGCTGATGATGATGATGATGATGATGATGATGATGACGATGATCCGCGCGTCTAAAGGGGTCAGGAACTCCCCGCTCGTACTGCCCTGGGACCGAGGCGTTTCCCTTTGGCCCTGCGGCAGCAACGCTTGGTCTCGTTCGCCTCGGCGCATACTCGCAGGAACACCAGAGTGCCCAGAGCGATCAACCGCCTTGGCCGAAGCAAGCGGTCGACAGATCCTCGCAGCCAGAGTGACTCAGCACACACGGCAGCAAGTACAGAGCTTCGGCTGCCGATCTAGCGGCTGGTACGCAGCTAACTTGCACACCGCACTTGAGTAGCAACTAGGTCCTTGGCGGTACCAGGCCACCCTGACTCGATTGCTCCTCAGGCCTGCGGAGATCGAACCTGAGCGTGGGTTGCCCTACGCTCACGGGTCGCCCTCCAAGTCGAGAAAGCGTGCAAGCACGCCGCTGGTTCGACTTTCATTCGGGACGGGCACAATGGAAGGGCGCTCTGCGCCAGACAGATTGGTGAGCCAGGCTCGGCAGAAAGCAGTGCGCGCCGAGCAGGCCGTGCACGCTGCAGGACAGCACCTCAACTCCAGCATCGCAGCTCGTCCCTAAGGCCCAATGCCAAACCCGGACTGTTGCAGTGTCGCTGGCATCGGAGCCCGATCCCATGTATAAGCGAGCCTACACATTTGGTTCGGCTTCCGCTCGCAAGGCGCCACGGGCGGAGCGCCAGGCACTGGGACTCGCGGAGACTCGCCCCAGCACCAGCGCAGCAACACCTCAATGGCTCCTGGCCTCACGCAAAGGTTGTTGCTGCGCCAGGGCTTCGGAGCCCGATCCCGATCGATGGAGACCTTCGCCCTTGGTTCGGCTTCCGTTCCAGACGGACAATATGGATGGCGCCGAGCGCCAGACATTTTGGTGAGCAGCGGCTCGTAAGAAGACGCGCACCGAGCTAGGCCATGCGCATGCATGACAGCGCCTCGCCACCGGCTCGCAACTCGCCCCTGAGGCTCCGAAGCCCGAGCAACGCTGGGCAGGTTGCAAACCGCTGACCGCGGCGCCCGATCCCGCGTGTTAGTAAACCTACACACTTGGTTCGACTTCCGCACAACACTCTGGCACAGAGGGCAGCTGCCGCCGAGAGGGCAAGCACGCTGCAAAGCTTCCGACCTGCAGCAGCGCAACTCGTCCCTAAGCCACCTGGCCAAAACACTGGACTGGTTGCATTGCCGCAGGCATCAGAGCCCGATCCCGAGTGTAGGCAAGACCCATGGTTCAGGATCCGCGCTGAGAGAACGGAGCGGCGGAGTTGAGCACCGAGCGAAAGCCATGCCCACCGAAACGAATTTCACCATCGGCAGCGCGCCCCCAAAGGCACCTGGCCTAACGCTGGGCTGTTGCATTGCCGATGGCATCGGGCCCGATCCCGTGCGCGAGCAAGCCTGCGCGCCAGGAAGCGAGAGCAGGCAGAGCCTAGCCGTCCATGCGCCTGTGCAAATGACGCAGCGGCCCAGGGTCACCGATGTTGCCCTACCAGCGGGCTGCGCGCCCCGCTTCAGCCGAGCACGGCCTGCTGCCTGTCGTTCTTCGGGGCCTTCGGGCACTCCTTCGCGAGGCCCGCCATCTTGGCGCTCTGAGTCCAGTAGCCGCGCTTGGCGCAAAAGAGATGGTTGCCCGCGCGCCAGAGCTCGCGGGATTCGTGTGTGCCGATCCCCCACCATGGCGGGGGCGCAGGTGGGGGCAGCGCTGGTGGGGGCGGCGGCGGTGGTTGGGCCGCAGGCAGCCGCTGGCGGTGCGGCTGCCGCTGTGCCGCCCGACCCGCTACCAGCCGGTGCGCGATCGTTGTCGCGTTGGCCATCGGCGGCCGACCCTGAGCCCTGCGAGCCGCTGGCCTGGCTGGACAGCAGCGCTGCGCCGGCAGCGGGGAGCGCCGCCGCCGCTGAGACCGCGCCAGAGCCCCCGTCGGAACCAGATGTGAACTGCCCCGAGATGGCTTCGCCGCGGCCCGCGCATTCCTGGCAGGCCCAGATGGAGTCGCCGTCTACGTCCAAGCACGCGGGCCGCGGCGACTACGCGTCCTCCTCGGGCCAGCTGGGACCGTGCAGTGGTTCCGCCAGCGCAGCTTGCAGCCTCGCCAATCGCGTCGTTCAGCGGCGAGACCTGGTTCTTCATGGCCGTCCTTCGCCGTCAGCTCTGCGTCGCCCTCCTGCTTGGCGGCCCCTGTCCAGCGGAAGGCCTTCCCGGCGAGCCCCGATCCTGACGAGCTCTGCGCTCGCGAATGTTGTCGTCGGTAGGATGCATGCGCGCGCTGTCGCTGGCGCGAGCGTCGGCGCTGTAATTGCCCCGCCGCTGCCACGCTGCGATGCACTCGGCGTGGGCGTCGGCCAGCGTCGCGTGGGCATTCACCGCGTGGAAAGAGGTGTTGTCGATGCCGACGTCGTCGACCGCCGCGCGCAGGCGGGCCCGGAGCTCCCTGCGCGGCCGCTGCCAATGGAGGTACGGCCCCTTGCGGGCAGCAGTGCCGTCGACGAGCAGCTGGCCGTCAGTGGAGATCCTGACGGGCGGCAGGCAATTCTGGATGCCCTCGATGGCCGCGTCAAGCTCCGCGGCGTCTGACTCCTGCGGGCAAGGCCAGGGGGGGGGCGAAGAGGCTGACGACCTCAGCATCTTGCCCCATGGCCACCACTGCCCAACCGCCCCTGGCGGAGACCAGGCTCGGGTTCTCGACGCTGCCGTCGGAGAAGAGGTCGCCGGCGAGAGGTTGGCCGACCAGGTCTGCGCGACCTTCTTTCCGAGCTGTCCTGTCCTCAGTGGGCAGAGGCAGGGCCCGCCTGTGCTCGGGGGCCAGGGCGCGAGACCAGAGTGGGTCCTCCGTGCTGTTGAGGCTGGCCATGTCGACGAGCGTCCTGGAATGGATGTCACCAGGGGGGCGCCGCTCGTCGGCGTCGTCGTTGGCCTCCCGCTCGGCGTTGTCAAGGGCGGTGGCGGTGCACTGCCGCGCCAGGTGCCGCGCCGTGCTGTGGGCGTCGCAGCCCCTGGGGCACCATGGTGACGAGGCCAGCGGGCGCTCGGCTTCGAACCTCCTGGCCGCTGGCCCGCCAGCGCGTTCTTGGCCGAGCTGAACTGGTTGGCCGTCTGCTTGCTCATGCGCTTGCGGTGGGGCGTGAGTCTGATGCTGGAGGGCGCGCCCCTCTCGCCATGTGCTCGAGGCCTGGGTGCTCGTCCGCCTCGCGCCGCAGCAGAAGTTCTTGGCTCGCCGCGATGTGCTTGGCCAGGGTGGAGGCGCCCAGGGTCCTCGGGTCGATCTCCCGCTGCTGATCGTCGATTTTAAAAGGCCTGGCCTCGCCGCGGCCCAGCCCAGGCGGTGGCGCGCCAGGGGGCGTGCCATGGCCGGCCCGTGTCCAGCGGGCTCCTCGGGCCCCGACTCGGCCAGCGTCGCTGGGGCACCAGCGAAGGCGCTGCCCATGGCACGCAGGTCGGCGCCGTCGGAGTTGAACTGCACCGCCTT